GTCATACTGATAGAACCTTAACCTGAGAAATCCAGCCCCTGGCCTCAATCTCAATATCCTGAAAAAGTCCAGAGTATCTGGAGAAACATTTCTTATAGATTGAAGGAGAGAAAATTTTGATGTATCTCAAGCCTGCTTGTGTTGGTTTCTCCCTGAAAGAGTATTAGTTTTTTCCTTTTGAATTTCTCTTCCCTTTTAAAAGAAATGTCCATCAATAATACATTCTGGGCACTACACATCCATCCAGTGGTCTTTTAGTGAATTTTTTGGGGGGAAGAGGGCAATATTCTTAGTTGAGAATGCATGCATCGATTTTTATGATGGGTTGAGAAGTTTTGTAGGTTTTTGGTAGATAAATTCAGACTTTTGGTAACTATTTTATTGTAATGGGGAGAAAGCTTTAATAAAACAATAAAATTTGTCTATGGTTACACAACAAAATTTCTCAATATACATTACTAAAGAAAGGGACCATCTCTGTGATGCTAATTGCTACTGAAAACATTTTTCTTCCAAACATTTGTAGAAACCAGTGATGCCCAGTGTTAAACACTGAACTTATTATGTGGGTTTCAGGGGGTAGACAAACAGAATTTTCTGGCACTGAGGAAAAAAAAGGACAATATACATAGAATAAAAGGTGGGAAAAACAAATAGATGCAGCCAAGCACAAAAAATACACCATTATTAGTAGCTTCATATTATTTATTAAAAATGTATTCATCAAATAGATTTTAAAAAGAAAATACTGTGTTTTATATTAGGAATATAATAATGAACAAGCCAGAAAAGATCTTACCTATGTCAGAGTAAGTCTTGTAAATAGCCAATTCATTAACTGGTGAAATCTTAGTGGTTTGGGACAACTCATTTATCCCCAAATATCTCTTCCTTTCACCTGTTATAGGTAGATGGATTTTTTGGCTTTTTCAGTTTTCTGTAAAGATTTTTAACAACATTAAAACAGTCACTCATGCATCCACTAATTTGTTTAAACAATATTTATATTGTGATTACTGGTGTCAGTAAGTACTGTAGGTGCTGGGAATCTGGGGTGAAAGGTAATCACTGCACAGGAGCAGGTACAACCACATACAGTAGTCCCCCTCATCCACGATTTCGCTTTCCATGGTTTTGGTTACCCATGGTCCATCGCAGTCCAGAAGTAGATAATCCTCTTTCCAACATATTGTTAGAAGGTCAATAGTAGCCTAATGCTATGTCACAATGTCTACATCATTCCCCTCACTTCATCTCCTCAAGTAGGCATTTTATCATCTCACATCATCACAAGAAGAAGGGTGAGTATAGTACAATAGGATATTTGAGAGATAGAGACCACATTCACCTAACCTTTATCATAATATATTGTTATAATAATTATTTCATTTTATTCTAAGCTATTGTTGTTAATCTCTTACTGTGTCTAATTTATAAATTAAACTTTATCTCAGGTATGTATGTATAGGAAAGAACATAGCATAAATACGGTTCGGTACTATCCATGGTTTTGGGCATCCACTGGGGGTCTTGAGGTCTTGGTATCCTCTGCAGATAAAAGGGCACTACTGTAAATGGACAATTATAACATGACCCAATAAATGCTATGATGGTGATAATGGTAGAATAAAAATGGGGATTTGGGACAAGGGCACCTAAAGGAGATTGCAGAGGAATCTTGGAAGGACCCTCTAACAATAGACAGACTACATTTTAAAGTAGATTTAATGTGTTTAGGAGTTTATGGGTTGGATACACGATGGGGTGGAGTATTACAGTAAAGGGGAAAGCATATAGGGTGGAATTGAGGGAATGTGGTCCTTTGATCTTAGGAACTTCTTTTTTTTTTTTTTTATTTGAGACACATATTTATTCAGTTATTGGCAAGCAAGTTCAAATGAGTCACTTAACCTCCCTGAACTTCACTTTTTGTTTCTATAAAAAGGCAAAAGTTATAGTAAGCATCTAGTTCAATTCCTGTGACTTAGTATGCATTTCAGAAATGTTTTCCCACAATTTTCCTTCACAGAAACATTGTGACATACCATACATTAATGTATTTGGTACAGTATGAGGTATGGGAATATAGCAATTTTAGAAACTGTGTAAATATATGATATTTTATTATAATATTTGACTATTAGAATAGAATTCTTATGGTGGGAGAAGGCTTAAGAGGTACCTGACCATTTTCTATACAGTATCAAATTAAATCCTCCAATAACCCTTTAGTGAATAAAACATCATTTTCTACATTTTATAAATGAGAAAAAAAAGTCACTTACCCAAGGTTGTATAGTTACAAAATAGTTGTAAGATTTAGATTTAAAATGGAGGTCTGTTTGATTTTAAAACACTTGTTTTTGTTTTTTTTATTATGTTGTGTTAATCACCATACATTACATCATTAGTTTTTGATGTAGTGTTCCATGATTCATTGTTTGCATATAACACCCAGTGCTCCATTCAGTACGTGCCCTCTTTAATACCCATCACCAGGCTAACCCATGCCCCCATTACCCTCCCCTCTAGAGCTCTCAGTTTGTTTCTCGGAGTCCAGTCTCTCATGGTTCATCTCCCCCTCTGATTCCCCCCCTTCATTTTTTCCTTCCTGCTATATTCTTCTTCTTCTTTTTTTTTTAACGTATAATGTATTATTTGTTTCAGAGGTATGGGTCTGTGATTCAATAGTCTTACACAATTCACAGCGCTCACCATAGCACATACCCTCCCCAGTGTCTATCACCCAGCCACCCCATTCTTCCCACCACCCGCCACTCCAGCAACCCTCAGTTTGTTTCCTGAGATTAAGAATTCCTCATATCAGTGAGGTCATATGATACATGTCTTTCCCTGATTGACTTATTTCACTCAGCACAATACCCTCCAGTTCCATCCACGTCATTGCAAATGGCAAGATTTCATTCCTTTTGATGGCTGCATAATATTCCATTGCATATATATTACCAAATCTTCTTTATCCATTCATCTGTCAATGGACATCTTGGCTCTTTCCATAGTTTGGCTATTGTGGACATTGCTGCTATAAACATCAGGGTGCAGGTACCCCTTTGGATCCCTACACTTGTATCTTTGGGGTAAATACCCAGTAGTGCAATTGCTGGATCATATGGTAGCTCTATTTTCAACTTTTTGAGGAACCTCCATACTGCTTTCCAGAGTAGGCTGCACCAGCTTGCATTCCCACCAACAGTGTAGGAGGGTTCCCCTTTCTCCGCATCCCCACCGACATCTGTCGTTTCCTGACTTGTTAATTTTAGCCATTCTGACTGGTGTGAGGTGGTATCTCACTGAGGTTTTGATTTGGATTTCCCTGATGCCGAGCGATGTTGAGCACTTTTTCATGTGTCTGTTGGCCATTTGGATGTCTTCTTTGGAAAAATGTCTGTTCATGTCTTCTGCCCATTTCTTGATTGGATCATTTATTCTTTGGGTGTTGAGTTTAATAAGTTCTTTATAGATTTTGGATACCAGCCCTTTATCTGATATGTCATTTGCAAATATCTTCTCCCATTCTGTCAGTTGTCTTTTGGTTTTGTTGACTGTTTCTTTTGTTGTGCAAAAGCTTCTTATCTTGATGAAGTCCTAATAGTTCATTTTTGCCCTTGCTTCCCTTGCCTTTGGCGATGTTTCTAGGAAGAAGTTGCTGCGTCTGAGGTCGAAGAGGTTGCTGCCTGTGTTCTCCTTTAGGATTTTGATGGACTCCTGTCTCACATTTAAGTCCTTCAACCATTTTGAGTCTATTTTTGTGTGTGGTATAAGGAAATGGTCCAGTTTCATTCTTCTGCATGTGGCTGTCCAATTTTCCCAACACCATTTGTTGAAGAGACTGTCTTTTTTCCATTGGACATTCTTTCCTGCTTTGTCGAAGATCTTAGGTAACTTCTAAAAGATTTAGCATTTAGTACAGGGGAGAAGGTTGAGGGCAATTCATCTATAGTGAAAAGATGGAACACAGGGTAAGGACTTGAGATAAGGGTATGTGGGAAAGATGGGGAAAAGTGGCAGTAGGGTGCTCAGAAATCAAAGTGCCTATTAAAGACTTTGCTGGGAGTCAACTCATCACAATTTGCGTTGTACATTTATTTCCCCTAGTACTCCACAAAAACCTCTGTGAAGTTATCACAAATATTGAATCTCCTTTAAGAAACTTGCCGTTGTATTAACAATGGAAGCCAATAAATACGAACAGGAAAGGAAGCAAACCCACATTATGAAAGAAGATAATGAAGTAGTGCTACTACAGTGTTTCTTGGTGACTGAACAAAATGCATGAAATGTCACCATTTTAAATGCCCTTTCATGGTTCAACTGGTTCAGACACTTGGTTCCACTGAATTCTTTCCACTTCCTGGCCTCAGCAGATACATGAGGTGGTGAGGATTAGAAGTAAAAAGGAAGAACTTTTCTAGGGGTGCCTGGGTGGCCCTGTCGTTAAGTGTCTGCCTTCAGCTCAGGTCATGATCCCAGAGTCCTGGGATCAAACCCCACATGGGGCTCCCTGCTCCGCAGGAAGCCTGCTTCTCCCTCTCCCACTCCCCCTGCTTGTGTTCCCTCTCTCACTGTGTCTCTTCTGTTAAATAAATAAATAAAATCTTTAAAAAAAAAAAAAAGGAAGAACTTTTCTAAGGATTATCAGTAAAATTAAGGAAGGCATTATTAAATTTGTTTTTGTTTTGCCATTTTTAATCAGTTTTGTAAGCAAGTGACTTCAATGCCCAGAAGGAAAAGTGAGTAAAGGTGTATCAACATCTAACAAATCATTCACATTACTCTTTGTAATCTTTCTTTTGGATATTTAACGGCTTGTAATGATTATGATATTGCAGGCACTTCCCATAAGCTATATATGCATTATTAATGAAGTTCTATGACTGGAAACTTCCATCACTGCAATGACTGTTGGAAAGCATAGGTTCATTCAAAATAATAATGCATAGGGGTTTGTCACAGTTTTAATATATACATTCTTCTTGCAGATGGTTGAAAAAGAAGGCTATCTTCAGAAAGCTAAAATTGCAGATGGTGGAAAGAAACTAAGGTAATAAAAGTTCCTTAATTCACTTTTACATAACTATGATAGTTCTCCATCTCCTCAATTTGTGTCACTGCTGTTTAGAAAGGAAGGCCCTATGGTAAGAGACTAGAATATTTCCCTCTGCTATCACTATGATCAACATTATTTTCACTATAATTACAGTTTTCCAATAAAGCACTACATTCTATATTGTTGCACATAATATTAAATGAGGTGCTTCTTGTCCTCCTGGAACTTGAAATCTTAAAAAACATGCAAATAAATAAGATAATGGGTCTTGATTTTTGAGATGAACAGATTAAGGGATGAGTGCTCTCATTTTGCAGTGTATAAAAATCTCCCTACAGCTCAGGTCTTGATCCCGGAGTACCAGGATTGAGCCCTGCATCGGGCTCCCCGCTCTGTGGGAAGCCTGCTTCTCCCTCCCCCCCCCGCCCCCCTCCGTTTGTGTTCCCTCTCTCGCTGTGTCTCTCTCTGTCAAATAAATAAATAAAATCTTTAAAAAAAAAATCTCCCTACAATACATTGGGAGCATATTGTTTGAAGATTGGGGGGTTTGATATACATTTTCTGCTCAGATAAAAATCATTTGAGAAAAAAGGAAAATAAAATCATCTGTCAGATAAAAAGTTGAACATTGCGCATCTGAGGTGAAATGAACACAGAATCAGTAAGAGAAAGTAGAAAAAGAAAATAAGAATTCCCCATGCAACAGCACCAAGAAAAAACGTCGAAGGAAAAAATGAGGTTGATAGGTAGAGAAAGATGCTAGACATTCTCTATGGATGGGATATTTAGAAATAATCATTTCCATTTTAGAATGTTTCCTATTTCTCGAGTACATACTATTATATACTTAGCTTTGTGCTAGGTGATATGTAAGCTACAAAGATATGTAGAAGGTGCTCAAATCGGGAGACAAGGCATTCACTTATGACTGTATTATTAACAGTTAAAACCATAAAGGATGAATGTACTAATTAGCTACACAATGGGACACTTGTTAATTGTATAATGCAATTCATTACTGGAATGACACTGGCCAACAATAGACCATAAAGTATGCTTTTGTTTACTGCCTGTAATTGAGTATGTATATATTTATTTAAAGAAGTAAAACTGGAGAAAACAATCAACCATAATTCTGCTGCTTAAAAGAGCTATTTCAATTTTAAAGAACGCACTCTACTTTTGGCTTATATAGTGTTTTATTCTGGGATGGTAAACAGGACCTTGAACCCTCTTCTACACTGTTTCTGTATAGTAACGCTGCAGCCACATTTCCTTTTAGGGTCCAGGAGAGACATGAATAGGACAGAAGGTCAAATGCAAGGCTGCTTTAAAGGACTGGACTGGTCCCTACCCCAGTGGAGAATCTGGCTTAAAGAGTTGGACTCTGAAAGGGCACCAGGATGATTTTTTAACTTTGGCTAACCCAGCCTAGTGTCCTCCTTTTCCTTAGACCTCAATCCCAATTACACCAGCTCAGGGAGTAGTGCTGAGGGTACAGCAATGACTCTTCCCAAGATAAATAAGTGAAGACCCTCTCTTACCTTACCAGTTACGTGCTCACAAAGTCTAAAGAGGGACAGAAAAAGATCTGAGGACTTGTCTAAGTTCAGGTTTCACTGGGCCTTGGTAGGGGAGAGGAGGTGAGAGCTGAAAGGAAAGCCTCATATATGGAAGAGGAGGAGATACTGAGAGGAATTCCAGAAAATAAAGATGATGTCCCGGTTTTGCCTGTAAACTGTCCTTATAAAATAGGTGGCGATGTCAAGAAAAAACAGGAGCAGAACAAGGCCCTTTCCCCAACTATCTCACATGAATACATTTTTAAGGCAGTTTCAATCAGTGTGTATACCATTCTGTATTTGTTTCATTTGTTGTTACTTTAATCAGTTTGCAAATCATTTTTGTGCTCTAGTTTAAGTTCATATAAACATTAGCTTGTACTCCGTTTTATTGTTATTTCAATCAGTTTGCATACAATTATGCATTCTTTCAGCTTTTTTCATTTAAAGGTATAGTTTCTTTTTTTTTTTTAGTTTTAGTTTCTTTTTTTTTTTAACATCAGGTGCACAGAATTGAGTTGATTTTACTGTTCAGTGTTGGCTTTATATTATCATCATTCTGGGCAAGACCCCTAGCTGGGTTTATTTTATCTCAGTCTCCAATCCTCACTTCAATCCCCTGTAGAATGTATGTTCATCAAATCCACTCTCCATATACTCATGTGGTTATATGTGTGGCATTCTAGTAAATAGTGTATAGTTGTGAGTATGTGAATGTGTCCTAAATTGCATAAGCCTTTTTGTGTTATAAACTTCCTTCTGTTTCTTGTTACTTTTATTCAATGTTAGTGTTTGGACATGGATCTGTATCTATATATTTAAAATGAGTTCACTTCTTCCAACTGCTGCCCATTTTGCCATTGTGTCCATACACTACATTTTACTTAATCTCTCAGTAGTGGACCCCTAAATTGTCCCTAACTCCTTCCATCCCCCGAACAACATGCAATAAGCCACACATATATGTCTCCTTACGCACCCGTTAGGTATTGTCTCTGGGGCATATACCCAGGAGTGAAGGATTGCAAGACACACACATTTATAAATCCATTGAGTGCTGCAGCCAGACTTCCTCCTGGATGAGCGCATGAGTTCACACTCCTGCAAAGGTCAAGGCAGCTTGTCCTGCCATCATCTCGTCACCCAGCATTATATAACTCTCAGTTTTGCAAGTCGATGGCGAGAGAATGTTACTACAGTGTTGCATTTATTTTTATTCCTCTCACTGGCATTTCGGTTGAGCATCACTTCATCCATTTAGAGTTAGTCAGGTTTCGTATTCTGAGAATTGCCTAGGTATCAACTTCAACTATTTTCTGTTACTTTTCTCACTTTTTGAAAGAACTAATATCATCGAGGTAGTCATAACCTTGTCAACTTTGGACTTTGTAAATATCTCCTTCAAGTCTCTCACTGTCTATTTACCTTGCTGATGAAAGCCCTCAATGACCCAAAATCTTTAACTTTGATCCATACTGGTCCGTAATTTTACTCCTTATTTTTTTTTTTTTTTAATTAACATTTTACAAATTGAACACTGTAGATGTAGTCACCATGTTTAATAACATGTAATATCCCGTCAGGTTGATGGCACTGTACTATACCAAACCATTCCTATACTCTTCTTTTATTTGAATTTTAAGTTGATTCCAGCCTTATACTAAAATAGTTATAATTGCAGCAAAACTCCTACTGTTTGTCAATGTTTCTTTTTTTTTTAAGATAAATGCTAAGCCTGAAATACTTGATTAAATCACATAACCTTTTTTTAATTAATTAATTAATTAATTAATTAATTAATTATTTTTTAAAAGATTTTATTTATTTATTTGAGAGAGAGAGAATGAGAGACAGAGAGCATGAGAGGGAGGAGGGTCAGAGGGAGAAGCAGACTCCCTGCCAAGCAGGGAGCCCAATGCAGGACTCGATCCCGGGACTCCAGGATCATGACCTGAGCCGAAGGCAGTCGCTTAACCAACTGAGCCACCCAGGCGCCCCTCACATAACCTTTTTTTTTAATGTTATGGATTGCCAGATTGCTTTGTCCAATGAGTCGGTATGTTTTTGTAGCTAGTAACAAGATGGTTAGTTTAATCATAACCTTGAAAAATTGTGTAGTTTTTATCCCATTGAGAATTTAGTAAATATTAAATAGTATAGCATAGTTGCTATAGTCTATATTTTTAATATAAATGCCTTTTGGTTGCCTTTTGCCCACTTATCAAGGTACTTTATATCTGTTATACATTTTACTGAGTTAATAAGCAGTATTACTAAATGCTTACTCTGTCAAGTTTAGCTAAATGCTTCATAATACTGAAATGATACTCTAAGATAGGCTATATTATTATTTTACTTTCAATTTTACAAATGAAGAAAATTGATCACTAGTATTAACCTCTCCTTTCTCCCGAACCTTATTGTATAGATAGTTAGTACCAGATTTTAGCCCTGTCCTCTGTTTGAAGTAAGTTAGTTTTTTTTCTCTTGCTAGAATCTCCTTAGAGCCAGGAAGCAAAAACTGCCCTGTTATTTCATACCATTAACAGTACCAAGGGCTTCAGTTATCACTTAGCAGACATTATTTTATTACTGTCTATAAAGTTTTCTGTCCAAAAATAATCGAAAGCTATTCCCATCATGCATTGTTTTTATTTTTCTTCCTTCCCCTCCTTTTCCTTTTTGTTTAGCTTCCCTCTTTTATATATTTTTCTTTCTCTCTAAGAAAAGTTTGACCTCTCTCTGAATATGAACAAGAGTGGGTAAAAGGAAGGAGAACTCATTGGCTATATCTTACATTCATAAACGGCTGTAAGTTTAGCCTTGTATTGAAATAGCGTTCTATAAATTACCACGTGATACACAGACAGGATTGAAAGCTGAATACATTCAGCGCTCAACTTTAATTTTTTTAATTGTTAACATTGAAAATATGTTTCACTTTTCTATGTTTTAGTTTAGGAAGTCCTTCCTTTTGGGACTTCCATCCCCAAAACGAAGTAGCAGCCCAGGTCTCTCTGAAGCTCTGTGAGGCCCCAGTGAAAAGCTATTTTCAATACTTTCCTTTACAAAAGGTACCTGACAGTGTGGACACTATGTGTCCATCTATGCCTGTCACTTTCACTTCATGCCTGCACCTTCGTCATCTCCCTGGTGGCTCTGCACAGCTGATCACATCTAGCTGTCCCTCTGCTCTGCTCTCTGGGGGCATAGAAAGTACTTGGGGGTGAAAAGATGAGCAGAAGAGGGGTATGGGAAGAAAAGAAGTGAAGGTAGTGCAGTGTTTATTTCTACTAGTGGTCATTTTCATCCCAGAGCCCAGAACTATGAGACCTTTGTTTTTATTTGTTTTCTTTTTTTCTTTTCTTTCTTTTTTTTTTTTCTTGAACAGTTGTTTCTCAGAAAAGACTTCCTTTAGAACATGATGCCAAA